ATCATTAACAAAACAATATTTATACAAGCTATCCACATTTAAAATAAAACAAATATGACTGCATTTAAAAGGTCCTTAAATATAATCAAGAATACTTAATTTTCAAGTCTTACTTGACAATATTTATAATTTCATAAATAAAAACATTACCTGCAATGTTTTACTAACATTTGACAAATTGCCATTTGCAACATAATTATGTCTATAACAGATATTGTAAAAAGCATTGCAAAAAAGGTTTTATGATAGTATTAAAATGATTTATGTACATGAAGAAAACAACTTCTGAAATGAAAGCAAACACACACATATTTTTACACTAAATCGGTGTCCTGAATAGTCTCCCTTGTCTAAATAACACCATTTGTAAAAAAATATAAATCACACAATTGTCTCCCTCTGTCAAAATATTGCCATTTGCAAAAAAAATAAATAAATGGATGAATTTCTTATCCTAATGACATAAATATGGACACCTGTCACCAATGGCATCTACAAGCTGTTCTCTCAGCCTGCTATAATGTTATTGTATAAAAAAGGTGTAAGAATTTACAATTCCTTGAACTTTTAATTTATATTTGGTTTTCTATTAATGTAAAATCTTTAATCAGTTTTCCATGAACATAAAATGTGTTGCAAAAAGTTTGATTGCCATAAGAAAAAATGTATCTTGATAGCTAGAAATAGTTTGAAAAATCTTTATCATTAGAAAAATCTATTACTATATTGTTTCTTAATAAGATAATAAATCTCAAATTATTCTGTGCTAATATTATTCAATGACTTGAAATAGCATATTTTTGTGGATTATTCTTAATTCACTATATGATAGTAGACAGTTATGAAGCATGTAATTCTATGATATTTGATTTAATACAGAGAGCTTTTTGATATTAAGTATTTAACATTAACAGCATGTAGACCACAGTTTTAACATCAAATCACTTTAAAACCAGCATGTTTATTAGTTCAAATCAAACACACAAGCTGGAACAGATGTTAAAACAGTGCAATATCAGTTATCGTTTAGAAAACACTTGTTAATTCACAATATGATTATTGTAACCCCTATTTATTTGAACAGTAACAAATATGGACAATGGTGCTACTGTTTTCTTACCAAATAGATATCTTAACTAACACATGTTTTGATTAATCACTGACAGGATCAAAATGAGCAGATTAGGTGTAACTTTGTAACTAAAAGCTTGAAAAACATTCATTTCTAAGGTTAAAACGCAAGATTTCATGCTGATACGACTTTGATTAAAGGTAAGGAAAGTCTTTGCAAAGTTACTGATGGTAATCTTAGGTAATTAGCACAGAGATGAACAAAGGTGGTACGCAAACAAAAGATGGCACACGACTTAAAGATAACTTTAGCCCGGCAATTCATTACATCTTTCAAGCATTCTGTTGATCATAAACAGAGTCAAATAAACCTGTCATATAGGCACTCACACATATATGGTAAACCCATCTGTTTGTAGGCCTTTAATATAAATTATTATAGAAATGTCAGGTGCAAACTTTAGGTATAAACAATTCATGAAATTATGAATTAAAAAAAATATAATTAAAAGGGAAATAGTATAGCATGATAGACAGGGTTGGACATTGTGAAACACAAAGAAATCACATATTTTGAATATGTACCTAATAAACTTAGTTGAAATTAATTATTCCCAAATTATGCTGCTAAAATATTCCGAGTTCTTTTTCAACTGAAATGTTCAAAATAATGATATACTGTACTCATATGTTACCAATTTTTTGTCTTGTTAGAGGATGATCAAAAGTATTAAAAAAGTTCCAAAAATTACTGTCTTTCAAGTTCAAATATCCAGTAAAAACATTGAGGTATTAAGGCCATCAAAGGCTGGCATAAATTTGACAAGTGTTGTCACTCTTATATGCACTTATTTGATTGAAATATGGCATGCTGACAGTATTATTGTTGTACCTAGTTACAATGATACTCTCTTTTCCTCATTTCCCTGCTTACTACTAAAATGATTTAACCCTGCTCTTTATAAGTAAAATGGCATATGCCCTGCTTTATCAGAAAACTGACCTTTGTTTGCCCTGTTTTTCAAATAAGTGAACTTTCCCTGCTCTATAAGTAAAATGACCATTACCCTGCTATATAAGTAAAAGAAAACAACATTTGCCCTGTTTTATTAGTAAAATGAACGTACACTACTTTTTTTAGTAAAATGACCTTTATTATGTTTATTAGTAAAATGACATTTGCCCTGCTTTGTTAGTAAACTGACCTTTGCCCTGATTTATTAGTAAAAAAACACTGGCCTGCTTTTAAAGTTTAATGTTTTATTAGAACTATAACATTACTCCATTTTAATAGTAAACTGACCTTTGCCCTGATTTATTAAAATGACATTGCCCCAATTTTATTAGTTATGTAGCCTTTGCTTTACTTTAATAGTAAACTGAACTTGCCCTGCTTTATTACGAAAGAAATGACATTGCCCTGCTTTGAACTTGAAACTGCACAAGCCTTTCCTGCCATATTGTAGCTATATATGTACAGAACCTTGACAATAGAACTATCGTCCTTTAACAAGCTTGCTATTTGGCCTCTTAAGATGACTGTCCTTAATCGGCTCCCCCCCCCCCCACCCCGCCTTAATGTGAAGAACAACCCACACCAATTTAGGGAAAGTGACTGTAATATCTTTTTTTATCTTTATCATAGCTGTAATGTCACTGTAAATTCAAAAGTATTCAATCATTTTATTTAAAGCCATAAGTACCATTGAAATGCTTTGAATTCAGTAATAAATTATACAAAAATATGCATTCTTAAATCTTAAAAATATCTTGCTGCAGCTATAAATCATTTTCTCTACAACATAAGATCTTGCTTCACTCAAAGGTGCTTATAAATTAGTGTTTTATGAAAACATTTGAGCCGCGTCATGACAAAACAAACATAGTGCGTTTGCGACCAGCATGGATCCAGACCAGCCTGCGCAACCGCGCAGTCTGATCAGGATCCATGCTGTTCGCTATCAGTTTCTCTACTTGTAATAGGAATGGTAACAGCATGGATCCTGATCAGACTGCGCGGATGCGCAGGCTGGATGGATCCATGCTGGTCGCAAACCCATTAAGTTGGTTTTGTCATGACACAGCTCATTTCATTACATGTAAGATTATAAACAAGAGCTGTCCGTAAGACAGCGCGCTCGACTTTTTTATTGCTTGCCAATAAAAAAAGTTTTTGCAGTAAAAGGCAATACAAGAATCTCTGTATTTTTAAAGTGAACAATGGCCATGAGCATTAAGATATTTAGTGAAGAATTATTTTACTGAATTGTGTGATACCCTTGAACACTGCAGCAAAGTTTGAAATGTTTAAGTCAAAAGAGGGCTGGTAAGAAAGAAAAAAAAACTGAGTTGAGCCTTAAATAAATTTAATAGTATTAAACCCACTTTGAGAGAATAAGGTATTTTTACGTCACTCAGAACACCTTGGTAAATGACATAATAACATAATTTTTTAAGAAATCTATGCCAAGGAAGCAGTATATTTTTGTACAATCAGCATAATATATAGATTTGACTTTGTATGTGAAAGTATTATAGTTACCTTATAATACAAGTAATAGATAAATTTTATCAAGCTTTTTTAGATGTTGTCAGTTGGTCACAAGTGGATCTCTTTCACACAGGCTGTGGGTGACTGGTTACTTTTCGTGGGTCCACTATGTAGATAATGCGTTGTAAACTGATATTTGAATTACATGAAGGAAGTTCAATTCATTATTTAATGTCATGCTAAATGTTCATGAAATCGTGACATTGAGTATATTTTTACCAATTGGGGCATCTCGTTGAACACATTCATTCTCACTATCTTCGAATGCTCCTAATTTCTGTATGTAAGCACAGTGTAGCATCACGAAACTGAATATAAGTTATATGATTTACTGGTAAAAGCCAATTCATGGAAGTCTATCAGTCTGCAATATATTACAAATTATCAATTTACACTATTTATGTCATATGTACACTTGGTATGTTCCAAAGAACTGTAAATTTTTAAGATTCACATCTCAGTTGAAGAAGAACTGGTTTGTGGTCTGAGAAGTAAGTCTCCAGCACAGAACAACTAGCAACTGTTAGATCTCGTGTAACGTATACATGATCTATTAATGTTTGAAAGTCTGTTGTGGAGCAGTCAACAAGTTGTGCACAGTGAAGTACAGCTTCAATATAAGTATCTCTCGGTATCTTTTTTAAATCATGATTGAAATCACCAATATAAATCTGCGGCTGCTGTGTATTGTCCTTTGATATGTTAGATAGGAATGTTTTTACAGTATTCTTCTTTGTTTTTGGAGATACATATAATCCAGCAACATTGACGATAGGTAAATGTGAGGAAATTCCATCAAGTTGAAATTGCACCATCTCAATGACATCATTGGCTGAATGGACAGTTCTGTAAGTGAAAGAAGATGAGAGAATTGGCTTCTTGGAATATACAGCTAATCCATATGTAGGTCTTTTATTTCCAGTGTTTGGCCAGTCAAACCTAAATAGCTGGTAACCAGGAATACTGTAGAGCTCATCTTGATCGGTATGATTCAACTTTGTTTCTGCAAATATCATACAGTCTGGAAAACGATACATACAGCTTGCTTGTATATCGCATATATGTTTGCGTAATGATCTTACATTTTGGAAGAGTATTGTAAAACAGCCAACCTGATGAATGTGGGTTATGAGACATTGTGTTAACATTTCCTTTCGTAGTCTTTCTTGTTCTGCTTGAACTCTACTGTCTACTTTGATTTTTGTCTCATTCAGATTTCTGATGTAAAGATGTTTCAAACTGGTAACTCTGCTGATTGCAACGTAATGAGAATGAGGGAAAGTTCGACCTGAGAAGTCCACTACAGCACTTTGCATAGTGTCTCCTTGACATCTATGAGTGGTTTTTGCAGCAGCGCAGCGAACTGGGAACTGTTGCCTCATAACACATGCTGACTTAGAAAGTCGTATAACTGTCGTTTTACTGTGAATATTGGGGTCCAAACCTTATTGATATTGCTTTTGTATAAATTTCGGTTTTGTTGTCTACACTGTTTGCCAATATCATCACTTTCAAAATGAGCCCAAAGATATTGAAAATTCCCTTTTTTGTCACATGGGCCAACACCTTCCAGTTTAAAAGCTGCACCATTGCTCATTCCATCTTCAACTTGAATGTTACATGATAATTCGTTTCTTAATCCAATTGCAGTGTTCAATTGTTTAGCAAGTCCCATTGTTTTTGAAATGTCACTTGGAGTAGAATTCAAAATCCTAGATTTTATTTCTGAAGAAACATCACCTAATACCACATCCAAGGCTTCTATTTTTAAACACTTTGACCCTTGTACCTGACAAACAATTTGGTTGTGTGAATCAACATCTGCATTTCGTATGTAAATATGGGGCACAGTGAGTGGATACTGTGGGTGCATCAAGTCTGTTGAAATCTTTCTCTGAAGAAGAAATGTAACATCTGCTTTAGTGTGATTTGACTCACGAAGTCTATTTAATACTTCTGCAAATTGCTTACAATCTTTCTGCCTCATGATTTCTTGTAATTCAAACATTTTAAAGTGTTCATTCCACAAGTTCGTTGCTAGTGGTCCGTAATCATTTGACAAATTTTCAAAGATCCATCCATCAAATACTGGTTTAAGCTGGAACATGTCTCCAACTGCTAATATGGAAAGGCCACCAAACAGTTTGTTGGAGCCCATAATTTGTTGTAGTCTCTGATGAATGAAACTGAACATTTTGTTTCCTACCATAGATATCTCATCAATGATGAGCAGCCTAGCATGTCTGAAAGTACACTGCAAAGTATTAAGTTTTTCATGTACTAAAGGCTTGTACTGAAAACCTTGATTTGCTGGTATTTTGAGGAGAAAGTGCAACGTGTTTCCTTTTATAAGATGAGCTGCTTTTCCTGTAGGAGCTGCTAAAAGTACTTTTGAATCATCTGGATTTGCTCCAGGTCTCGAATTGAAAAAACGAGTCAAAGCTTGATAAATGGCTTTAACTAACACAGATTTTCCTACTCCTATCTCAAACAGTTCAGTCAAAAAGTGGACTGGTACTAAAAACTTAACCAAGATTCTAAGTCGATAAAAGGCCTTAATTTTTAAAACAAATCCTTGACAGAGTTACCTTCTCTTGCGTACAGATGGGGGTAATGATGTGAAATAGCATTAAAAGTTTCAAAGCAATATCTCAAAGGGTTAAGGCAATAAGTGGATTTTACCCATATTCAATGTATTTTCTAAGTCAAAAAGGGGCATAATTCTGTCAAAAACCTTGACAGAGTTATGTCCTCTTGTCTGTTGATGAAGGTCGTGATGGTAAACAAGTATGGTCAGTTTCAAAGCAATACCTCCAATGGTTTTGAAATAAAGTGAGGTGGTACAAAAAACTTAACCAAGCTCAATACACTTATTAAGTCAAAAAAGGGCCATAATTCTGTCAAAAACCTTGACAGAGTTATGTACTCTTGTCTGTAGATGGAGGTTATGATGGTGAACAAGTATGGTAAGTTTCAAAGCCATACTTGTAATACTTCTGAAATAAAGTGGGGTGGTACGAAAAACTTAACCAAGGTGTGACGCCAACGCCGACGCCGGGGCGAGTAGGATAGCTCCCCTTTTCATAGAAAAGTCGAGCTAAAAATTACTGTATATTAGTATTTTAAACTTGATGTTTTTTGTATTCAGGTTAAAATATGCATAAATATATAACTAGGTTAAAACTGATGTAAATTTGGATTCAACTCTAATTGAAAACTTTTCTTCATGCCTTTTTAAGGTAAGACAAAGGTTTCAATTACTAAATAACCTTGACATTGAATTCTGGCTTAGTTATCTCATTGACCTTGACATTGAATTCTGACTTAATTAGATATCTAAGTAAAACACCTTGACCTTTTGCTTTATTGACCTTGAATTTCAATTGTGACATTTTTACCTGTATCTTAGTTAAACAAGTTGACCTATTTGCTTTATTGACCTTGACGTTCAATTGTGACATGGTTACATGTATCTTAGATCAACAAGTTGACCTATTTGCTTTATTGACCTTGACATTCAATTGTGACATGGTTACATGTATCTTAGTTCAACAAGTTGACCTATTTGCTTTATTGACCTTGACATTCAATTGTGACATTGTTACATGTATCTTAGTTCAACAAGTTGACCTATTTGCTTTATTGACCTTGACTTTTCAATTGTGACATTGTTGCATGTATCTTAGTCCAATAAGTTAACCTATTTGCTTTATTGATCTTGACTTTCAGTTGTGACATAGCTACATGTATCTTAGTCCAATAAGTTGACCTAATTGCTTTATTGACCTTGACTTTTTATTGTGACATTGTTACATGTATCTTAGTTCAACAAGTTGACCTATTTGCTTTATTGACCTTGACTTTCAATTGTGACATTGTTACATGTATCTTAGTCCAACAAGTTGACCTACTTGCTTTATTGACCTTGACTTTTAATTGTGACAAAGTAACATGTATCTTAGTTCAACAAGTTGACCTACTTGCTTTATTGACCTTGACGTTTAATTGTGACATTGTTACATGTATCTTAGTTCAACAAGTTGACCTACTTGCTTTATTGACCTTGACGTTTAATTGTGACATTGAAACATGTATCTTAGTCTAACAAGCTGATCTTTTGCTTCATTGACCTTGACATCTGACAAAACTACCATAGTTCAATAGAGTGCACTTTTGGAAAAATGTTCGCTTATGTAACACATGTTTTAACAGTTTAATATAAAAAAAAATAATGATTTTGACCAATGAATGAGTTTTAAATTTAAATGATTTTAACAAAACTTCTTAAGTGTGACAGTCTTTATGGTGCTTTATGGAGCTTACAGAAAAACTCAAGGCTCACAAAAAGTGCCTAAAATTCAAGCTAGGTAAAAATACATAATAATGACATATAATTGATATGAAATTTGTTTTATCTTTTAAACCATTTTTAAAGATAGTATTTATGTCTCTTTTCAGCAATTTTCTAAAACATTATAATTATTTACAATTATAATCAAGATTTAAAGACAAATACATTGATATATTTTCAATTTTTACCCCAAAACCTATCCGATGTAATAAACTTAACAAGATTATTCTAACACGTTATAAACATGGAAAAATTAAGACATGAACTTCGGCAAAAAACATAAACCCAACAGTAAAATGTGTCCATAATATAACAAGCATGCATTGCATACAAATTATATAACAGCACTTTACTAAGTAGCTCAGGTGTTTAATTAGACAGATTTCCCCAACAATCTTTCCATCTTTCAAACTCTATACGGCCTTTATATATTATAATTACAGATGTTACGATAATGTTATTTTCATGATAAAACTGGGAGAATCCTTTTATACCATAGAAAAAAACTGTGAAAATTATCATGGATTTCTAGCTTATTTAATACATCAATGTCAAGCTAATATCTAGATCAACCCAGATTTGGCATAATTAGAAAATGACTTTTATTAAGGTAATATTTCGTTATAATATTATTCTGTTACAAGTGTTTGTAATAATATGGCAAAGTCCAAGCAATTACAATGTCATGTCAATGTATTTCCTTACTATTTCAGCATTTAAAAGCACCTTAACATTGCAAATTGGCAAAGTCCATGCAATATATTACATGTCGATACAATTAACAGACCTGAACATTGCAAATGGGCAATGTAAAATCAAGTTCACACTGAAGGTTACACAAGTGCTCTTGTTGGATTTTAAGTCACACCAACAAAGTATAGGTCATACCGTGACTTTCCAACTTTACTGGTGGAGGAAGACCTCAGGTGCCCTTCCGAGACATTTTAATGCTGCCAGTATGAGTAAGAATTAGATCAGCTAGGCTGACCAGACCAGGGCTGCGTTTCACTAACATACTTACGTTATCGTAACTCGAGTTAGAAAGTAACTTTTTGCATTAGTAATTATTTGTGTTTCACTAAACCTTCTTAGCTACGCATTTGCGTAAGTTTAAACGTAAAGTTACGCTCACTAATATGGCGTAAATTGAACGTTCTGTTTAATGACACTCAACTAACGTAAATTTACGTTTTGCGTAAGTCCAAATTTACGTAAAACTTACGGAATGATAGTGAAACGCTGGCCAGGTGCACACTATGTCAGTATTCTGATCTTTAAATTCACAACCGTTTAATTAACTTGTGGTTAAAAGCAATCAGTGCCAACAACCTCTTGTTCAATTTTCATAAAAGTTCCAACCAAATTTAAAACATGAATGAGATGATTCAAACAGAAGGTACATTGTTTTTTTAAATCTAATCTAATTCATTAGCAACTTGAAAAACTGAATTTTAACATAAAACTCATTTGAATAAATCCGTAGGGCTAATTCAACTGTACTAAATGAGCTTACTTTGTGATTAATAAGATGTTTTCACACAGGTGTTTATTTTGACACCTGTAAATTGGAAGTGTTAGCGTACAAAAATGCAGTAACCCCTGTGGCATGTCACTGTAGTATTATATAGTACTACTAACCAGTTAAATTAATTCTGTGCTGGTCTAAAGATGACATGAACAAATAGTGTTGAGTTGCCACATCATGGGACACAGATATAAATAATATTATCATCATGAATTATTTCATACTGTGAGAATTATGTAAACCATATTATATTTATATGGACAGTTAACTTAAATTCTTTCACCACTAAATCCGTACCAACTGACTTGCACATGTGTATTGCCATCATTTGTTACTTTAAGGGCATTTAATATCAGAAATGTAAAATTGAGCAGTACAGAGACTGGTTCTCAGACAGTTCTGATTTTGATACAAGCTTAAGAAAACTCATTTTAGCAACAGTGTAACAACCACTTGTTTTGATCTATGATAAAGAATCATTTAACCAATTGTAAAACAACTTGCTCTGGTCTATAGGATAAAGACTGATATTAACAACAGTGTAACTACACTATGCTCTGGCTAGTAGGATAAAGACTGATATGGACAACAGTGTAACATGATGTGGACAACAGTGTAACGACATATGGACACCAGTGTAACAACATAATGCTCTGGCTAGTAGGATAAAGACTGATATGGACAACAGTGTAACAACATATAGACAACAGTGTATCAACATAATGCTTTGGTCTATAATAAGACTGATACAGACAACAGTGTAATGGCATACGAACAACAGTGTATCAACATTATGCTCTGATCTAGGATAAAGGCTGATACGGACAACAGTGTAACAACATATGGACAACAGTGTCAGGACATACGAACAACAGTGTAACAACATTATGCTCTAGTCTTTAATAAAGACTGATGGGGACAACAGTGTAACACCATACGGACAACAGTGTCATGACATATGGATAACAGTGTAACAACATTATGCAATGGTCTAGGATAAAGACTGTTTTAAGAAACAATACAGCAACATCAACAGCTTGTTTTGATCTATGATAAAGAATGACTATGCAATAGTGTAACAGCAATTTGTTTTGAATCATGTTTGAAACAAAAGCCTGACTTCTTTCTATGTTCTATGTTAAGGTTTTAATTAGCCACTTTAATATATTATGATTGGACATTTACCAAAGACTTCCTTAGATTTTGATAATATAGAAAAAACGCGAATATGAGATAATGTTCAGTGTTTCGGAGTACCATTTAATCAAAGACTTTGTCAATGGGGAAAAAACCACGTATCACAGATCAACAAAAATATTAAACACAAAATAAGAAAAAATACACAAAATGTAAAAATATACATGAGT